GATTATTGTCTTCAAAAAATTTAATGGCATCTTGAACTTTTATCAAGCTTTGTATGTAACTATCGACATCAGCACCAGGTCTGAAAAAATAATGGAAATTTATGAATATAATGATGGGATAGAGTAAGATGATGAGGGATGATGAGGGATGAGGACATGAAAATTTAGGAGTTAGATATTTAAAACAATTTCTGTTTCAATTTCATATTGGAAAGAACTTGGACAAGAGTAAAAAAATAAGCTGATAAACATATGGAATCATGGAAGGAAAGGTAGATAAACCATCCTTTCATCCTTTCCTTTTAGTCAGGGGGGAGAAAACCATCTTACAACCTTTTCTTTTAGTCAGGGGGATACAAACCATCATCCAAACACTTACCCATCTCTGATGTCCTGGTCTTCTTTTGAAGCAACATTATGATAGCTGATAACATTATCCAACCCTCGTAAAACTTTGTCAATATCTGGGGGGGGGGGAGATTGGTCAAGGAACTACAACATATGTGGATCTGTTATAGCATTAATGAAACATTGCAATGTTTGCCCAGGTTGGAAAACTTGTATCGAAGTCCCTGTATAGCTACAAGGATGTGAATTTATTTGCTGCCAGTGACTTACAACCAGAAATATGCTGCAACACAAAGCCGATTGTACCATTTCGATTTTGCAAGAAAATATTAGTTCAATATGATGGTGGATGCTGCAGTTTACCCTGAGATGATATAAGTACAAGCAAAGTAATTTAGAGGGGCAACATATAGTTGAAAATGGTCGTGTGGCTGCAAGAGAAAGCAAGTTTTCCAACCTCATTGTTTGTCTTCTTCAAAAGACTTAAACAGAATTGCACCTTAAGAAAATAAACTTGAGTATGATTGAAATTGAGTGTAAAAGGATACTTCTTTGTCGACGTTGTAGTTCAACAGTTTCTTTATGCACAGGTAAAATGTTTTCTTCTAGCTTGCTTAAGCGTTCGTTAAATGATGACAAAATACCACGCTGAAAAAATTATATAACCTTGCTATTTTAAGGAATGAAATCTTCAATTTGAAAGTTCATGTTATAATTCCAAAATTTGACTAAACTTGTCCTTACCATATTTTCCGTCAAATCGTCGCTTTTCGTCAAACTGTCTTTCAAAAATGATAAATTTGCTTGCTCCTAAAAATAAAAACTATTTCTATTCAACAAAAGAGAACTGTTATTTTGGTTGTCAAACTTGAACGTCTTGTCTTGACAGTAAGTTTACCTTTGAAAGTTTTTCAGCTAAAACTTTTTTCCTTTGAGAAACATGCTCTGGTCGGCTTTCTTGAATCATTTTTAATGGCAGTAAGCAAGTAAACTTTCCGAAACGTCTCAAAGTTTGTCTTAAACAGTGATTAAACAAGGAAATGAACTAAAAATTTCATGAATGAAACTCCATTTTTGAGTTGAGGTCAAGTCAACCCTCAACTTTCCAAATAATGAAATAATTATTCGGGTGTTGCGGGCTAGGATGAAGGAACCAATGGGGTGAAGGCATTGAGTTGTATCGATACTCAATCATTGAGCTCTATAAGACCTGGAGGGGCAAAGGGGCCTGGACCCCGTGGTCAAAAACATGGCGGTAATGGCGGATTTTGGTTGTCAAAACTTCCACTTTGAGAAAAATTTTTAACATTCGCTCCCTCCCGAAACGGATCTCTATTACTGCTCATAGTAATGACAACCAGCGAAAACAACCACGATACCGTAAGCATAAAATATTGAAAATAATCCTTAAGGTTTTTGTGAAATAGACACACACATTTAAATGAGGTAAATCTACTGTAAAATAACGTATATTTTGTCAAGTAATACTTTAGCTATATTAGAAATAAATATCAAACGGCAATCTTTACACTGTTAATGTGTTGTTAAGCTTTAATGCATAATCCCATGCGCATTACTTGTGTTTTTGACTGTTTGTGAACAGCTTGGTGCAACTGTCTTTCTTGAATAGATGGGTAAATCTTAGTTAAAATGTCGAAAAGGAGTTAGAAAAGTTAGCTTACCCTACGACTTAAGTCGACTGGAAATATATTATAAGTAGGTATGTAATTGTTTTGAGTTTTTGGTAGGATTGATTCTGGGTGTCTTATAAAGTATTATGATATTCTGATAAATCTACTGAGAACTTATGAGGAAAATATCTTGAACTAGGAGAGCAAAAGAACGAAATTCAGAAATTCTATAATCATGTTGCTGATTCTGTTTTAAGCCAAGATATTAGAAACTGGATTGTTATTGACAACCATGGATCTACTACTGAACAGAACTACATTAATTTCCCATTGAAAATACTATTTCTTAAATCGAAGTGCATTGGTTTCTCTGACATAACACTTTTCTTATTGCTGCATGAAGGCAAACCTGTTTAAATAATTATAATGTAGGTGAAGATATTTAGCATGTTGTATAATTGTTATTATACAGACATTATTTATAATATTATGGCCTTGTGTAATGTATGTCAAGAACTTATTAATTCTCAAAAATGCTAACCTTGCACTACTTTTCTTTTGTGTCCTTACAAATTACAGTTACCTATACTAATTTTTTCTAGGTTCAAACAACTTGACAAATTTTTGAATTTTACATTATGCCTTTGAATTTTTCTTTTTGTCTTTTGGTAAAATATCAGTGAATGACTTAAAAATCAAGTTTATCTAAAATAGTATTTTGTACAAAGTAACTATACATAATTGGAAAAGTCTCATGTTGAAGGCAGATGTGGCTTCTTTTACTAGATTGCTACTCTTATTCTTTTAAATGATATCGTAATTCTTCAAAAGACATAAAAAGTTCTTTGCCATCAATTTTTGCTTCTTCCACATTCAACTTCATTGCAACCAATGCATCTTATGTGAATTTTTAATCACCTGGAATTGAAAAATGTATGGATTTTGTCAGATGATGCAGTACTGTATTTAATGTTTCATGCATGTCATGATAAGCTTTTCTTGAGCAAATATTTCAAGGTAGGAGCAAAATTTGGCACATTATTGAACAAAGTAGTTTTTATCTTGATTTTGATGTACTAACCTGTTTAGTACACTGTGTAACAAACAATTCATTTACAGAAACACCATATGGCATTTATAAAACTTTTAGCATAAAGCAAACCTTTACACACCATCATCATGCTTGTCCAAATCTGTCAAATTGTCCAGGCTAGCTGTTTAATACAGGTAATTTTTATTGTACGACATGTACCAAAGAGCTCATTAATTAATCCTGCACTGCATTTGATTTCAATACAGCTCTGTCCTTAATATTTGCTTCATATTTTCAGAAAAATATCATGAAAAAATCCTCCATTTCAACTCAGTTGAAACAAGGAGTTTTAAGATATGCATATCTCGATAAGAACTGGTTGCTTTGCCTCGTCTAGCAATCGATTAAGTAAAGAACAAATAAGACTGGATAAAATAACTTAAATTACAACTTAGGAGTAAAACATTCACAAAATATATGCCATCACACTTCAAGTATTGACTTAAAACAAAACACTGAACACTTTAAATAGTAAACAATCTTACGTTGCTTACCGGTGTCATGAAATGTTTCCTTTTCTGGCATTACTTCAGCATCCGTATACCAAACAAGTTTGCAGCATGTTTTAAAGATAAAATTTCTAAAAGTTTTTGTGCTTGGCATTGATATTTTCTATAATCGCAATTGTGGTTGTCAAATCCGGGTGGGCGAAAAAAATTTCATTTTATGAGCCCGCGTCTTTCCGCTGACTTTGACAACCAAAATCCGCCATGTTTTTGACCACGCGGCCGCGCGCTAATAATTTATACTAATTTTGTTGACGTTTCCCCTCCAGGTCTTATAGAACTCAATGTACTCAATGGGTGAAGAGCAAACCCAATGGGCTACCGACCTAAGGTAGACCGAATTTAAATTTGTGTTGATTTTGTAAATGCTCATGTCTGTAATTAGCAAAAAAACATCGGTGAGCTGAGCAAAGTTTTGCTGATGTTAATAAATATGAATTGTAAATCTAAATACTCTGCCTGATAATTAAAAGCAATGTAATAATGTTCCGTCGCTTTTTCTTTCTAAAGGCCCGTTCACACGATCCGATTTGTTGGATTTGATTTTGTCGGATCAAAAAAAAAACGAATCGTGTGAACCATTTTCTTCCATCAAGATCAGAAAAAGCCGACTAGTTCCGGACCTCTCATTCTCAAAACTTTCAAAATTTCATTTGGCGCAAAGCATTAGATGTGAAAACTGAAAAAGACTTAGAAACAAGAACAAAAATACGCAAAATACACATCGATAAATGCACTGGATAACATAAATGTCTGCTCCACGACCATAAATACCCAAACAGTGCTCCACTTTATCAAACGAGTATTAAAATTTATGAGCAACAAAACGGTGAAATAAAAGTCATATGCCTAAAATTTCCGAGCATGTGATTGGATATACGATATTTTTCAATAGTGATTAAAATTAAAGAAAACAAAATTAAAGCATTACGATAAAAATTAAGAAAGCAAAAACATCCTTGCTTGATTTCATTTATTAATTGCTTGGCAACTTGCCGAGACACTATCCGTAAGCGAATTCAATATCAATGTCATGAAAATGATAAAAAACAGCAGGACATTGGATTTCTTCAGTAATTTCATCGTCAAAACATGACTTTCAACACATAAAGAATAGAGAGCTTTAGCAAAGACTACGAGTACGATTTACGTCATTTTGGCGCGTAAACATTGTTGCGACAACAAAAACACGTAGCCGTCATCAATCTGAGTACGATGTTTTGTAAAAAATTCGTAGTCGCGACTACGATGTCTTTTAAGCAAACACAGTAGGTATATTTTTTCATTCTGTAAGAAATTAGTTTACAGTACTAGTTTCGAGAATCCAGGCTTTACCTTAGAACCTTTTTAAACGCATATGTACATTAAAAAGGAAAATATGACGTAAATCGTACTCGTAGTCTTTCTAATATTCCCATCAAGCAATTTAGCAAGTTTATTACGCTTCCACACGACAGAAAAAAGAAATAAAACACATGAATTGTGTCCATCACTTCACCGACTAAGTTCACTATAATCTAAAATGCAATGTCGTTTAATAAAAAGATTACTTTGGTTGGTTCGTTTGTACGACTTTCATTATCCACTCGTTGACAAGGACTAAAAACAAGCGAGCGAGCCACGCTTACTGACAGTCTATTTGTTCATTCATGATACTTATTCAGTTCATTTTTCGCTCTTCTAAGTTTTCTTCGTTAGCTATTCATCTTGTACCCAACCTTTATACTGTTCGTGTACCTCAAAACGTCGTTTCAGTAGAGGATCCTTAAAAATATCTATCACATCATTGAAACTTTCACTCGCATAAAATTTTTTCTTCAAACCTACGATCCGGTCAATGCGTTCCTGGGTGGTCAGGACCCACTTTGTAGGTACAGGTAGCTTAAGACTCTCTGCTTTTTCTTTCTTTACTGGATAACCAAACTTTTTTCTTATTCGATCGCCCGTCTGGTGAAGGGATGTGGTGTCAACGCTAGCGACTTTAAATGCAAATAACGTTGAGGCACGTGCTTTTTTTTCCTTTTTTTTAATCTCCGACTCAATTTCCTCTATTAATTGCTCCATTCGATTCCTAGTATTCTGTTTCGTACTCTGTTGAGTAAATCCAACATTAACTAACTTCAGGTCAACGTCCTTTGGAAAATGATAATTGTTCACTACTATGGCATACACAACGGGAGGATTTTTCTCTCGGCGAATGAGATCCGACAAACCACTTTGGCGAGCATAATAATTTAGATGTTGGACTAACTCATTTCCGTTAGTCCCATCCCAAAACCATTTTGCAAAATCATTCGTCAGTAATTCAGAATATTTAGATTCACTCTCGGCCATCGCTTTAATTTAAACCTAATTGTTAGTAGTGACTTAAGAATAACGTTTTCACAATGATATAACTTCCACAGTCCCACTCTCATTTACATTTTATATTGTAAGTTTGCCAATTATGATTGGTTAAGAAAAATCATGCCACCACACGTCACAGAATAGATAAGTAACAGAAGCGCCACTCAGCGAAAAATTCTTCCCCCCCTTGCACCCAGTTCTTAATTGCGCATCGTATCATTGAGTTCTATAATAACTGGAGGGGAAACGTCAACAAAATTAGTATAAATTATTAGCGCACGGCCGCGTGGTCTAAAACATGGCGGATTTTGGTGGTCAAAGTCAGCGGAGAGACGCGGGCTCATGAAATAAAATTTTTGTCGCCCACCCTGATTTGACCACCATGATTGCGAGTATAGAAAATATCAAAACTACTTATTTTCCTAACATAAACACTTTTTAAACTTATATTTATTAAAAAATCTGCAAATTTCTGTGGTTTGTGGATGCTGAAATAGCGACAGAAAAGGGAACATTTCTTGACTCCGGTAAGTAGCACAGTATTAGTTTTACTATTTTGTTTTTAACACGATACTTGAAGAGTGTTTCTACTACTAAGTTTTAATTTAAAGTTATTTTGGTCCAGTCTTGTTTGTTCTTCACTTAATCGCTCGCCAGACGTGGCGAAGCTGTCAATTTTTATCGTGGTCAAAAACATTACCGCCATGTTTTTGACCACGGGGTCCAGGCCCCTTTGCCCCTCCAGGTCTTATAGAGCTCAATGGCCATTACTCCAGCCAGATAAACTTGGATAAACCAGTGAACTCCATAAATATATATCTGGAGTGATAACGACAATACATTTTATAGATATAAAATTGAAGCCAAAGTCCTAGTCTCTTGCGCGGTTTGTACGTCAGTTCCAGTCCTTCAAAGTCGAATATTCACGCGGTTTGTACGTCAGTTTCATTCCCCTGAGTGCCAAACACATACACGGCCAATATAAATTTGAATACAAATTGCGGAAGCAAAAACATTTAAACAACATCACGACAAACAACACACGAGGCCAACTCCTCGCAAAAGGTTATTTTTTACAGCTGAAACTTTACTACAGTGAGTTCGTTGTAACTTACAACTTGTAACGAGGAAAAGCCAACTGATAATTACATTGTATGCTAAAAAGACGATACAATAGAAAAATATGATGAGAAAATATTCAAGCAAAATTTTTTCTTTCATCGGTAGGTAAATTTTCAAACGGTGTCAGACAGTGTTCGTCTTTTTTTGTCATTTCAATGGATTTAAAGATCTGTTTTTTCCGAACGAAAAAAGAAACTTGAATATTCAGTTTCATAAAAAATATTGAGTCTATAACTCGCATTTTTACTTTTTACAGAGCGATTGTATTTTTCATCGATTTTGATAGTGCTTGAAATAGTAAATGGTTGTCATCTCGATATCAATAATTGAATTTCTTTAAAGACTTTGATATGTTTTAAAGGAAAGCCACAGCTTAAGAGCAGATCGACTGTGTATGACAAAAATGTATAGTAGCTATATTAAAGATGTTTTCATTCTATATGTAAAATTTGTCGAATAAAAATTCATAACAACAAATCCTTTTAGTTTATTTGAAAAACGTAATAATACTTTTGCACTTAAGATGATGTAGAATTGAAATAAATATACTTCAAAAGTTTTTCTTCGTGAAGATAAAACTGACTAGTAAAATGAAATCAACTGAGGTCAAACTAAAGATCCAGGATATGAAAAAATACAAATTGTTTATAAACACGCGAGAAACACGAGTGATGACGAATGATGACGACAAATATTTTTTTGGCTTCAATTTTTGGCTTCGGTTATCATTCCAGTTATTCAAATGTCGAGTTCACTGATGAAACACCATTATTTTAGGCCAAACTTTCGCAAAAATTTTCGGGTGTTGCAGGCAAGAATAAAGATGTTTAAGAGAAGAGTTTTGAATTGGAGCTTAGTACTGAGGTCGACCAACGACTGAGTAAAAAATAGGATTGATTTTGGAAACAACTCATGTCGCAAGTTTGCAATAAACAAACATGAACGACAAGAATTCCCAAAAGATTATCAAGCTGTAGTTAACATTCAAAACCTTTTACATACAAAAGCAATTTTGAAGTGGGCTAACTCGGTTCATGTTATTGTACACGAATTTTAAGTTCTTCTTACTCTGTGATGATTCTGATAACTAAACAAGCATTGTAACGATGTGCGATCATTTTTCTGTTTCATATCATCGATCTTAAGCATTATAAAATGCAATTGTGAGGGATATTTTTCTACTAAAGATATACGATAGTAAATTTTCAATCTTAAATTGACTTTTCAAACTTAATCATTCTCCATGATATTTTCATGCAAGTTGTTGTTCCTGGAAGTAAATTCAACAAACGCTTCCATAACGCCACACTTAAAATACTAAATAACATAAATACATATTAAAATATGTCATCCAAACATGCTGAGCTTTTTGTTGACCAAAGATACAGTGAACGCCTTGTTTCTTATATAAAAACAGAGCTTTTATTTTTCTATCTAAATTGTGTAAAGCATCAACAGTTAGAAAAATTGAAAATATAAAACTTAGTACAAAAGTTAAATCGATTTAAGTAACTGCTGCTATTTGAAAAGAATGGACTAAAACACTTCATAAAAATCACTGGCAATTAGATAAACCTACATCACTAACTCTTTCTAACACATTGAGAAAAGAAATATGGCAAAAATGATTAAAACTATAAGCTAAAGAAGTGGCGGATTAAATCAAGTTGAAATTTATGTGTAGTGTTATTGTAGATGAATTTGATTGATTGCCGAATTTATCAAACATTTCTTGATCTCCAAGCCAATAGCTTTGGCCATGGGGGGAGGTACTGCATTACCAATCTAATAAAAAAATACAACATTGATCTAGCATATCAATATGCTTTATAACAAAGATTTAACAAGATGCTGTCGCATAATTCTGTGTTATAAGGCTGCTTGAATATCCAAGCTACACCATGTATTTTTAACAGGTTTCGCAAAATTGCGATAAAATTCATATGGTTAAGTTAGACATACTGTTTTCAATGAAACTCTTACAGATAGACACGCCGTTTCCAAGCAAACTCATGCAGATAGACATACTGTTTCCAATGAAACTCTTACAGATAGACACACCGTTTCCAATCAAACTCATGAAGATAAACATACTGTTTCCAATGAAACTCCTACAGATAGACACACCGTTTCAAATCAAACTCATGCAGATAAACATACTGTTTCCAATGAAACTCCTACAGATAGACACACCGTTTCAAATCAAACTCATGCAGATAAACATACTGTTTCCAATGAAACTCCTACAGATAGACACACCGTTTCAAATCAAACTCATGCAGATAAACATACTGTTTCCAATGAAACTCCTACAGATAGACACACCGTTTCAAATCAAACTCATGCAGATAAACATACTGTTTCCAATGAAACTCCTACAGATAGACACACCGTTTCCAATCAAACTCATGCAGATAAACATACTGTTTCCAATGAAACTCTTACAGATAGACACACCGTTTCCAATCAAACTCATGAGATAAACATACTGTTTCCAATGAAACTCCTAATAATAAGGACTTTATTTGAAGAGGGGACACGTAACAGCTGAAAAGCTGACAAACCTGTGGCCCTCTAACTAGATTATACAGGATTACAAAAACTGATAATGAATAAATATATAAATAATTACAAAATTCTATGATAAAAATAGCAGGACATATTAAAAATATTCAGAAAGATAAAATTAATTCATAAAAAATTAAAATTAAAATTAGGTAGTGCGCTATTGCTTAATATTGTTTCAAAGTTGTCCAGGTTTTTATATGAGCTTATAAAATGCTTTTCACAGCTGTTTTGAATAGATTTATACTAGGCTTTTTGATATCATGGGAAGGCTGTTCCATAACTTAACTGCGTCAACACTGAATGCCTAGCCACCATCGTTATTTCTTAGGTATTTGGGACACACTAAATTTAAATTGCCATTTCTCGTGGACCTATTGTGAACAGAACTGTTCGTCTTGAACAAATCTTTGATATAAATGGGAACATCGCATTTGAGGCTCTTAAAGATCATGGCACATTTGTTTAGTTTTATTTCGTCAAAAAAAGGCAACCAGCCTAGTTTACTAAAGTTTACAACACTTCTAGAATAAGGGTCTACTCCAAGAATTACTCAGGCAGCCCTTTTTGTAACCTTAGGAGACAGTGGAGTTCTTTAACGTCGCAGGTATTCCAAACCATGCTCCCGTACATAAGGACGGGTTTAATCAAGGCGTTATAGTATAAAAGTCTTTCTTTTATTGGAAGGTATCTCTTTATCTTTTTTAATAAACCAATACGCTGAGAAAGCTTGGCCTTTAGGCTAGAAATGTGGTCACTAAATGTAAGATCTTGATCGAGTGTTACTCCAAGCAATTTATAAGAGGTTACTTGTTCTATTTCGGCCCCATCAAGGGTCACTGACAGGTGATTGCCATCAACTAATGATGAATGTAGCCTCTTTCCAGTGATAAGTAATGCTTTGGTTTTAACAGGGTTTAGGACCATCCCATTTTGCTAGACCATTTACTTAATTTATCCATGTATTCTTGAAGACGTCGTTCCAATTCCAAAGGTGCATTAACGATATTAGCGCTGGCTTTAAATGTGGTGTCATCCGCGTAAGCATGAATAGTTGAGTCCGATCCAACAGCTTCGGGAAGATCATTGACGAAAATTAAAAAAAGTAGAGGTCCTAATATGCTACCTTGAGGAACTCCATTGGTTAGCATAAGTTGTGACGAAGTCGAGTTATTTACAGTGACACACTGTTTGCGATTGAGTAGATAGCTCTGCAATAGCTTTACAACATTATCTGGAAATCCATATGATCTTAACTTTACTAGGAGAATGTCATGATTGATCAAGTCGAATGCCTTGCTATAGTCCTACAGATAGACACACCGTTTCAAATCAAACTCATGCAGATAAACATACTGTTTTCAAT